CCAAGAAACTATTATCACTTTAATGACAGAATGTGAAATACAAACTTTTAGCAGTATGGAAGTTGGAAATATTAGGTCTAATCTTTAAAATGACTCCAGTATTAGCTTATGTTTTAATATCTTTCATAATAAAGCATATGAAGATTAGTAGAATTTTCCCATCATATATTATGAGTTTAGAATTCAGTTCTAGTTAACTGTTGATCACATCTGACAGCCAGATGAATTTTTTCTTTATAATCCAGTGAGTATAGTAGTGATCTTAAGGATGAGTAGCTGATCTACTTGAAATAAGATTTGTATGAAGTTCTAAGTGACTTTTACAGAAACGTATCAAAATAACATTCAGGCTCTTGTATAATCCCATAATGAAAACATGTTTTTTTTCTTTAAATCTTGGTTAACTAGCATGAATTTACAGTTGAATACAATTAAATGTTTTTTGTGTTCGTGATTTTATGGAATTTATTGTCTTTACAATAATTTTTATACAAGCAGTGATGAATAGTTTCAAAGGCAATAGATACTTATAGGATAATTTTTGTTATATAGAAACTTATGATAGGATAATATAGGTATTCGTTAGTCAATGCTGTATTTAGAACTTCCCTTCCTAAGAATTAATTCTACTGGATTATATGATTAGACTGATCATTTTGATTTTTTTTTTTTTTCATTTTACCTTTTTATTTCATGATGATTAAAGTGAATTTTCTCTTCCTTTCATGACCTTCCACAGGCTTATGCCCAAGTTTGCAAAAGGCTGGGTTCTCAGTGATGGTTAGATGCATGCAGGTATATATAAAATAACAGGCTGGGTAAGAATTGGCACCCTTCGTTGGTGCACATTTAATGTGCACCTGATGAATGAACTTTTGCATATACATGTCTGAAAATTGAACCATAATTTGTATTTGTTACTAGATTGAACAAGATCCAAAATTGCCATCAACTCCGAAAGAGCTTTTTTACTGAATTCAGAGAGGCTGTATTTTATCAAATCCTTATAGAAACACTCAAAACCAATAACATCTAGCTTTACTCACAGTTTTCATAGAAAAAAAGCCCCTTCAAACTGATGGAGTTTTCATATTGAATCAGTACTAGTGAGAAATTCTGAATTTGCTGTTACTGTTTTTCACTTTGCAAAACAAGTGTTTAAATGTGTGTGATGCATGTTAAGACAGATAATTAACATATGTTGTTACAGCTTGGATGACTTGTCACTCCTGGATGCTTGCTGGGCTTGTGACCCAAGCTTTGTGTCCCATGTGCTCTTGACTGGCAAGGTTTTGGTTGGATTTAGGCATTGCTTTGACTGTAGACCTTGAGGGTACAGTCTCTGGGTGCATGTTCCATATCTGAGACTCTGTGGCAGTGGGAACCCCACAGAATGCTTGGTTCTTGAAAGTAAACCCAGCTTTCCTAAGGTTTCTTGATAGCTGTAGTATGCTCTCAGAGAGCCACCAAAACTATGGCCCCTCTGACACATTATGTGATGGTAGTACAGGGGCACTGCAAAATTATTTCCGAACACACACTCTTACACTTTTACTTTGGAGTTCCCCATGGCTTAGTGGTAGAATCCTTGTCTGCCACACATGAGACCTGGGTCAATTCCCAGACGCTTATACAGTTATAGCCGGGGAGGTACCAAACATCTGGACTCATTCTGGACTTTTTGATTCTGTCTCAATGACCCAAAGTGGGGGTGGAAGGCCTGGGCAGCCTCTACTCCTTTGTACTCCTGCCTACACATATGATCATGCATACACCATGATCCAGAAGGACTGATAGTTGCCAAACCAACCATCTACTTTGACTTTACTTTTACTTGCACAGGGAGCCCAAAGGGGACACAAGTTTATAAAAATTATTACATGAATAGCCCTTAGGGTTTTTGTCAGCCCTTTCAGGGTCCTTTTTGCACCCTCTTCCTGCTCAGCCCTTAGATTCTGGTCATAATTTTTTCTTGTCCCATACTATACATAAGATTCCCATAGCAGCTGAAAGGTTCCTCCCCTCAGAGAGCACATCCCTTTTTAATAGCAGTTCTTAACTCTTTTTCTCGCCATCCATATTCTGGTGGAACAGAACATATTGTTAAAGTATGTATGATGCTTAGAGAGAGTTACGTAAATCAGACAATATCTAAATGATGTCTGCAGCAATAGACCTATCTATATATCCACTTAACAAGATGACTTTGTAGCTGAACATTCAAATACAAATTCAATAGATTCTTTTAAATGTACGCTAAATAAATATACAATGTTCTCTTAATTGAACAAATAACTAATTATTGTAGCCTTGCTTAGTAGAATAATCTTCTGGCATTTAACAAGTCTCTTATCCCTTGTTTAAAGCTTCATTAAAAAAATACTACAAAGGGATTTCTGTCTTGTAAGTGCCAGAATTTCTCTTGAGCTTCCATTGTGGGTCAGGACAGAAGTCAGTCTTGTACCATATTGTAAACCATCAATTTTTAATGTTTCCTCAAAGATGAGGTAATGTGAAAATAGAAATCTTTGGGTTTTTTCCCCCAAAATAGGTGAATTGCAGATTGATTGGTTTTTGTTTTTTTGTGTTTTTTAGTTTTCAGTCCAAGCCTCACAAATCCAATCAAGAATCAGCAAAAGTACAAATCTGTGGGACTAAGTCCTCAGGTAATGTAAATTGGTATAAATTCCATTGTCTTCACATGGCCAGGTCAGGATTTGGCCCTATGTGTGACCATAGGTTAGTGACTCGAAAAGGGTTTGCTGTGCCATAAGTGTCAGAAGTGTACCCTGAGATCCCACTATGTGAAGAAGTAAATACTAGGGCTGTGTGAAACAGCACCCTTTCGTTTTGAATTCCATTTCACTGGTTTGAAGGGACAGTGTTTTGTTTAGTTTCATTTTGAAACACTGTTCCATTTCATTTCATCGAAACTGTTTTGCTGTTTTGACGCGTTTCGACGTTTCGCCCCTAGGCTATAATGGGGAATCACGAAAATGCCTGTGACTGTCATTTCTTGCCTGATTCGAATGGAAACACCAGGGAGGGTAGCCCTTGCTGAGGTCACAAAGCCTGTCAAGTTTTGAGGAGATAGGTGCAGGGGTTTCTGGTAAACTGCACCTCAAGCTGCTGACAAGCAAAACTTGTGACGTGTGTGTGTTAAGGTGCGCCCTCGCTGCTGCTGGGGCCTCTACATGACACAGTACTGTGCCCCAATGAAGTCGTCTCCTCCCCTACAGCCTCAGTCCAGTCCATTACTTTAAATAACAACAGGTAAGTAAGCAGCATAGTAGCACCAGCAGCATCTCAGGCGGCCAAACTGTGACAGAGCCTTTCTTTCCTTTCCTGCAGGAGCTGCTTCTTCAGCAGCTGCCAGAGAACTCTTCCTGCCAGTCCCAGCCCTGGGCCTTAGATGTGCCCAGGGCCCTGCCTCCTTCCTGTCAGCTGACCGGGGACAGGTCCTAGGGGTGTAGGTTGTGGCCATGTTGGTCTGAGGACATGGCACTGGCAGACAAGGTTCTTTGGGTCAATCTGATATCTTTTAGTAGACCAGGGGTGGGCAACATGCGGCCCATGGGCCGGATGTGGCCTGCCAGGCCATTCTATCCGGCCTGCAGGGCCCCTAAAAAAATTTAGAAAATTAATATTTATCTGGCCCTGACTGCCTGTCAGGCAGGCTTCAATGGCTTACCAAAACTCAGTAAGTGGCCCTCCGCCCAAAATAATTGCCTGCCCCTGTAGTATATTTTTCCAACTATTCAGTTGGTCTATCTTAGCAAGCTTTTGGTTTGAAAAAACCCTTTTTCAGGCTGAGGAAACACCTGCAGTTGGTGTGTGCGTGCGTGCGTGCATGCATGTGTGCTCTTCCTGGATGGAAGGAATAGTAAGGAAGCTAGAGGCTGGCATGCAATGCAGGCAAGAAAGGCAGTCAGTGAAAATGAAAATGGAGGCATCAGGGGGTCAGGGACAGGCTGGGGTGGGGGAAGGGGTATAAAAACCCTTTTTCAGGCTGAGGAAACACCTGCAGTTGGTGTGTGCGTGCGTGCGTGCATGCATGTGTGCTCTTCCTGGATGGAAGGAATAGTAAGGAAGCTAGAGGCTGGCATGCAATGCAGGCAAGAAAGGCAGTCAGTGAAAATGAAAATGGAGGCATCAGGGGGTCAGGGACAGGCTGGGGTGGGGGAAGGGGTATATTGCAGGTAAAAGTGGAGAGGTACCTGGGGAGTCAGATGTCCGGCAGGTTGTAGTGTGTCAAAATTCCAGTGTCTATATTGAGCCCATGAGTTTCTATACCTAGGAGGTTGATGAAGTACAGTTCATAGGCTCGTCTGTGAAAAGTGGTTTGTAAATTCAAACAAGCAGTGAACCTCCCTACCGTCATCACCAGAAGCCAACTTCCTACAGCCCAAAACGCACCAAATCCAGACCATGCCATGACAAGAAATGCAAAACCTGCCAACAATGTATCCACTATGGAGATATCTTCGCAATGCATGTCTCCATCAGGGCACCAAATGCCCTGATGGAAAATACATAGAGACATGAAGCAACAACTGCGCACCAGAATGATAGACTTTTGTTGTGTGCCCAAAGACAAGAACACCCAACTACCTGTGTCCAGTCTCTCAGGCCTGATCCTCAAAGGGAATTTACAAACCACTTTTCACAGGCAAGCCTATGAACTGCATTTCATCAACCTCCTAGGTATAGAAACTCATGGACTCAATAGTTTCTGTGTTTTACTTTTTTTTTTTTTTTTTTTTTTAAGGATTTTTCCTATACGTACCATAAAAAATATGTTGCTGGTATATGCTGTTTTTTCCTGCAGGACTTTGTCTTCTAACTTTGTCTTTTATCTCTCCTGTCCTTTGTCTGCCCTCCTCCCTTCTGTTGTTATAGGGTTTCTTTTCTGTAAGAGTTCTTACCAGGTTTTGATATGAAGGATAATTTTTTTTCTTTATTTATTTTCTCTTTTCTTTTACATGTCACTCCTTTACAAGCATGAGGATCTGATAAAAGCTCCAGGTAGAAGATAAGTTAAGGAATTGGAAGAAACTTCAGTCTACTGCAAAGAAAACAGAAGGATCAGGGAGCGGACTCTAGAGTAAAAGTGCTGGTATGAAATTATAAATATTTTTGTTGGAATTTAGGTCGGTATCTAGAAGAAAAAAAACTCACCTAATATAGAGCACAGCTTCTAAGCAGTTCTGCTTGGTCTGTGCTGGCCAGGCAGCATGGATGAAACTATTCGTACTGGAAGGAACCTTATTTAAAAGGAGGTTCTCCTCTTCTGCACATGGAGCCAAATGATTCTTTCAGTCTTTGTTAGAGGTTGTACAGTGCCCTCAGTCCTTATAGATGATGTTAGGCCAGTCACACCCCTCTGCCTTCTAGCATAGCCTTTAAAATGCTAATTTTTGGAAAAACTTAAGATGATCCTTTTTTCAACAATATCACTATAAATTATGCAAAAATTACTTGAGGCGCATCTTTATATTACAGTATATCAGTGCATATTCAAGTGTATCCTCTCCATGATATTAATCACAGTTAAAATTACTTATAATTTAAATAGTAGGTAATGTTATAAAAATGATAGGAAATGCAAAAGTATTGCTTCAGAACAAATGCAACTTACTGAACAGACAGCCAGTCAGAACTGCAGCATCCAGGATCTTTTGGGGTCTATTGAATTTTGGGTCTTAATTAAAATTATACAAGGAATTGATATAATTCCAGAATCACTTCTTGGCACTGTTTACTGTGAAGGCATTAATGAAAACTCTCACTAATTTAGGGACCACAGTTTGGCTAATTACAGTTGTGATGAGAAAATATATAGATTTATATTTTATTACATATGGATATGAAAGCATCATGAAAAAAATCAGTTTTAATAAAATACACTGAAGAAACTACATTCAAAGGGACTTCATTGCCTCTTTTTTTTTTTTATAGCATTACGTTTTCATTTTGTGACTAATAATTGTTTCTGTTTAGTCATTTAAGGATTCACCAGGCTGAAACAGGATGCTTCCCTTAAAAGTTACACACCTTAGGAAATGGCTTGTTTTCACTAATGTTTGAGGGGATATGAGGAGTTCTCTCTCTAGGTTAGAGACAAAGGCTTTTTTACATGGTTTTTGGATTCTTTCTCTGGTTTTTAATCTTTGCAATAAAATAAGGTCATAATAAAGTAACATTGTAGGCTGGGAGGAGGCCTTGCTTGTTGTCTGGGACCATACTGAATTTAAATAACAGCTCTTCTGTATTGTTTACTGACCCAAAACTGGAGTTATAATCTGACTGTGGCAGAATTCTAGCTGCAGCATTTGTATCGCCCAAAGTCTGTCAATTGTGCATACAGGATGAACAGCAAGAAAAAAGGGGATGGGTATATTACAGTAATAATCTAAACAAAATAACACAAATGTTTGAATAAGAATCTATGCATTAGCAGAAATACATTGGAGATGCAGTATTTCTAATGTCTTATAATAGAGATTTCCCTTTAGCACACATTTGATTCAACTGTTAACCTAAAAATAATGGGGGGAAAATGTAGTATAAAAGAGACAGAGATGAAAGAGTGACTATAAGGAAGCAGGATTTTTTGCTAGTGTTCACATCCTGCAGACTTTTTTTGCATTAAGTTGTAAGAAACATTGATGTACACACTTCTTAAGTATGCAGGGAAGTATGGGAATAACTTTAAAAATCAACCATTATGTTCCCAATATCATCGGTAATCCCTCACAGTAGAGGATGATTGTCTTTCATGATTGTCTTACCTGTGGGTCTGAAGATTGGTGCAAAAGCCAATTGGAGATTGACAGGTTCTATTCTATTGCAACTTTAACACGTGTTTCTGTCCAGGGTGGATAGATCTGGGTTCCTGATTTGGTCCACGACATGCTGTTTCTGGCACTCCTGCTTTCCTGTCTCCTGTTCTTGTCATGCGGTTTCAAAGTACTGAGATCCTTGCAACAAACTCTCCTTGGTGATAGTCTCCCATGAGTTGATGTGGGTGTTGCACTTTTCCAAGTTGGCCTTAGATGTCCTTGAAGCACTTTCTCTGCCCCTCTCTTGAGTATATGCTGTGACTGACCTGGGAGAATAAAACTTGTTTTGGGAATCTGCAGTCAGATATCTGGATGATGTGACCGGCCAAGTGAAGTTGATGTTGAACGATCATTGCCTTGATGATCATGGTGTTTGCTTGCAAGAGAACATTAATGTTGGTGTGTTTGTCTTCCCATTGGATTTGAAAGATCTTCCATAGGTAGTGTTGATGGTACTTCTCCACCAACTTGCAGTGTCTCCTGTACGTTGTCCACATCTCAGCTCTGTACATTAATTTGGGGATCACGACTGCTTGATAAACTGAGCTTGGTTTCAGATCTGATGTTGCAGTCTTCAAAACACTCATTTCCTCAGGCATCCAAAAGCTGAACTTGCATATTTGAGGTGATGTTGGATTTCTTCTTCGATGTCAGCCTTCTGCGAGTGATGGCTTCTGAGGTATGGGAAATACTCAACATTTTCCAGAGTCGCACGGAGACTGCTCATTAAGGTCTTGTTGATGGAGGACCTTAGTCTTCTGAATGTTAAGTGTCAGTCCTGTTTTTCTTGTATGACTTGGTAAAAATGTCAATGATTGCCTGAAGGTCTGCTTCCAAGTGAGCACACACTACAGCATTGTCACTGTACTGGAGCTCAGACTTCCATCTTTGCTTGAATTCTGCTCAACTGACTGTTCCTTCCTTTCCCAAGTCTCAATGCGGCTTCAGACCGTCAAAAGGCAGCATGGATATGATTTTTGTGGCCCAGCAGATCCAGGAAAAATGTCAGAGAACAACATCAGGAACTGTATATAACTTTTTACTGATTTTTTTTTTTTTTTTTTTTTTTTTTTTTTTTTTTTTAACCAGAGCCTTCAACTCTTAACTGTGAGGCTCTATGGAAGATCTTACCAAAGTCTGGCTGCCCAGAGTAATCTATCACCATCCTCAGATTCTTTTATGATCAAATAACTGCCTCCATCATATGCGTTAGCTCCACTACAGAGCCCTTTGCCATCTAAACTGGCATCAAGCAGGGCTGCATGATTGCACCAGTTCTGTTTTCCATCTTTCTTACAGTCACCAAGATGCTCATCTGTGACCACCTGTCACATGGCATCATCATCGAGTACAGGATGCAGAGCAACCTTTTCAGTCTCTCCTGCCCCCGTACCAAAAGTAGAGTTACTTCAGCCTTGATTGCCGAACTTCAGTGCGCTGACGATTCTGCTGTTGTTGCACATACTGAGGAGGACCTATAAAAGGCCCTTAACTTCTCTCAAGCATACCAGTGCCTGGGGCTGACTCTTAACATCAGAAAAACAAAGGTGCTTCACCAGCCTGCTCCGGGCCAGTCAACCTCCCTGGCAAAGGTCCTCATTGATGGACAGGAGCTAGAAAATGTTGAACATTTTACATACCTCAGCAGCCCTCTCTCAAAAAGGGCCAACATCAGCGAGAAGATCCAGTATAGCAGGGGTTGTCAACCGGGAGTACGCATACCCACAGGAGTACTTGAGAAGGTGCTAGGGGGTATGTGTGAGCAGGTGGGCGGGCAGGAATGGAGCGCTGCCATCCAGCACCCCATACCACCACCTTCCAGGAGCAGGGCTGGGGTGGGATCAGATTTCAGCAGGGATTCCATCTGCTTCAGATGCTTTGTCACTCTCTCTATCTGCTTGATGGCTTTCCTTACCTTGTCAAGGGTTGGAGGGATTTGGAGATTCTCTGGGTGGTGCAGGATGGAATTGAGAACACTCATCAACAACAGAATCTCAATTGAGGTCTTCAAAATGCTCCTTCCAGCAGGCATTGAGGGCTCCCCTTTCCTTGATGAGGTCTTCTCCATCCTTAGGTCTCAAGGGGGTTGGTCCCTGAGTGCTCAGACCATAGATGGCTTTGGTGACACTGGAAAAAAAACATGCATATCATGGATGTCAGTGAGATGTTGAATCTTTCAGCTTGTCTTCCCACCATCTTTTCTTCATATCATTTGGATCTCTGTCTTGGCTTGCTGGTGATTTCAATTTCTTTTGCTTGGAGTTGGTGTCATTCTGTCAAGCACGAAAGGCCTTGTGCCTATTGTTGATCAACTCTTGGATCTCCCAGTCAATCTCAAACGAGTCTTGCTATTTCCTGGTAGTGAACCACATGGCATTGTCGTCAGTTTCTTCTCAGGCACTGATGCCGGTGGACTTGAAGGCACCCCAAGCGCTGCCAACATTCTCCCATTGTTGTTGGCTGGAATTGGCCAGTTTTTTTCATTGAGGTGCTGGTGGAAGAGGTTTCACTTGATCAGTTCCTTGAGTCCTTCAACACTGATCTTCCATCAGCATTGCTTCTGCTGCATCCATCATTTGGGAGTCAGTTTGAGTGACATAACTGAGTGGATGAGTGAGTTGGTCCAGCAATTGTCAGCTCCTAACATAGCTCAGACATCTCTGATCCTGGGCACAAACTATGATATAATCAATCAATGGGTGTTGCCATGATGTCTTGTACATATTTTTCTGGTGGAACAGGGTGTTGGTGATAGTGATTTCATGTTCTGCGCATTTGGTCAAGAGGAGGATGCTGTTGGAGTTGACCTTTCCTAATCCTTCCTAGCCAATGGTTCCATTCCAGAGGTTCAAGTCCCTTCCAACTCTATCATTGAAATCACTGAGCAGAATAAATCCGTCACCCTCCAGAATGTCAAAGAGGACTTGGTCAGGGTTGGCATATTATTCCTCCTTGGTTTCATCATCATTGTCAAGAATCGAGGTACATATGCTGATGACAGTGGCATATTGGCTCCCTGTCAGTTTCAGACAGTCATGAGGTGCTCACTAATTCTGATGGAGAATTTGTTGAGTTGGTTTATGAGTTCATTCTTAATGGCAAAGCCACTTCTGTAAAGTTGGTGTTTTCCTTCCTGTTTACCTTATAGAAGAGAATATAGCTATCTACTTGTTCTTTGAGCTGCCCATCTCCCACTCACTGGGCCTCATTCATTGCAGGGATTTCAGTGTTGTGTTGCCTGAGTTCTCGAGCCATGGTTGCAGTGTGGTGTGGT